GGACCTCCCCTGTTAACCAGGACTGCTAATGTATGCCTACTAAACTGTAAGACTTCTTTGCATGGTGCTGAATCTCATTATTTTTTTCCACGTGAAATAATCAGGTCACTTTAATGTATATTGTAAATAAAAAGGTTCACTGAGGAGAGGTATAGACAAATGATTGCAGTTTTAATAAACTTAGAATAGTTTATTGGTGCTAGTCACTCAGGACAAAGATAAAAATGACAAGACTACAGAGTTCTTTTTCTCTGTTTTTCAGTGCCCAGGGATTTGCCATTCCTCCTTGATTCACCAAATATAGCTTCATATGCAGTATTTCTTGTCCTACTTACAAGAGATGGTTGATTGTCTTCATTTAATTTTTAATTTAATGCCCTGCACTTCAAGTCTCTCGATTGCCTTACATGTACAACTTTGTTGTCACCTCTTGAATGCTTTTCCCTAGCATATTCCAATAGCAGTCTCCCTTAATTAAACCTGAAATCCAGCTACTTCCTTTGTGTTAATAGTTATTTCTCCTTTAGCTTACCCTCTCATTTTACCCTGAATAACACTTCAAGGAATTGCAATTAATTTTTGTCCACCATCATTGACTGAGCTACGCCAATCAAAAACAAGCAGAAATTTCCCTCATCCAGACATATCATGGCCTGAAATAAAGGCTATTGTACTTAGTAAAAAATTGAGAATTGCAGCAGCCATTTGGGTTTTATACCATTATCTATAGTGGAAGCTGCAGATCATCATTTAGCAAAGTGCCCTTGAAAGGCCAAAGACACATTTTTCTCATGGACACAGAAGACGTAGGGATATGCAGAGATGTATTTGTAAAATTGACAGCCTTTTTGTAAAGCCTACAATCTGTTAATTTAGCTTCTAGTAACCTAGAACTGCAATTCATGTACATTCAGAGAAAACATATCAACAGTATAAAAGCTCTGGTGTAATATTAGCTCTAATACAGCTTGGGACAGAGTACTGTTTTATTGTGGAGGCTGCTGTTAAGTAAAAAGCAAGCTGTTAATTAAAACCCAGGTAAGGCTCTGGAAAGCAGGGCACTGGGAACAGTCTGAACAGCTGAGCCAAGGAACTGGAGGCCAAGGAACTGGAAAGGAAGAGTAGAATCTGTGAATGGAAGGACAAGAAGATTGGAACTGGCATGAGGAGATAGGTGAGAAGAGGACAGCTTGGAAGGGATAAAGCAGAAAAGATGAGCTTTATCATGATAGAGCTTCCAGGGTTGTGTGAATCCTAAGGTTCTTGGTGTCTCATTGTTCATCAGCTGTCAGAAGTAACTGGGACATTCTTTCAGAGTTTTGTACTCACAGAATCACTAAGGTGATCCAATCATTAAGCTTGGAAAAGACCTTCAAGATCATCAAGCCCAACCATCAACCCAACGCCACCATGCCCCCTAAACCATGTCCTGAAGTGCCACGTCTACACATTTTTTGAATATTTCCAGTGATGGTGACTCCACCCCCTCCTTGGGCAGCCTGTTCCAATGTTTGGCCACTCTCTCAGGAAAGAAATTTTTCCTAATATCTAGTCTAAACCTCCCCTGGCACAACTTGAGGCCATTTCTTCTTGTCCTATCACTGGTTACTTGAGAGAAAAGTCCAACGCCCTCCTCACCACATCCTCCTTTCAGGTAGTTGTAGAGAGTGACAAGGTCTCCCCTCAGCCTCCTGTAGCTCTGGTCCACACAGGGATCACAGAAAACTTTTGCAGGTACTTCTGCACTAGCTCAAGTGTCAGAGATGAAAGCATTGAACGTAAAGGTTCCAACCTTGCAGATGTGGTTATCAAAATAAAATTGAATGGGTGGTTTGTGAGGGAGGGGGCTGTTACAAAAATTTCACATTCCTACCAAATACAGTGATTATAAACTCTAAAAAACCCCAGAATTATAGTTTTAAGCATGTGGACAGTCTATGGTGTTTCTGTCAGGCATGAATGTTTCAAGATTGCCTTGTCCTGTACCGTCTTCCTTCTGTAGTAATGCTGCATTCCGAGGACAGGAAGGTGCAGTGCAGTACCCCTGCCTTCTTTGTTGTAGGGGTGGGAAGGTATGTAGTGAGGGGTGTAAGAAGAGAAGAAATGCTTGCTGTAGTTAAGTCAATGGTATATATTAAACCTCTGCAAAATCGAGTGTGTCTTAGGGCACTGAAGGTAAGCTTTTCATGCATCATCACTAGTATGTTTCTTATTTTTCAAGTCACTGATTTAAGGTGTTTGTATAAGACTTGCAGATGTGCTAACTGTTTGCAATCATGAATAAATGTAAAATGGAGACAGTGCCTCCAGGTTTCCCCTTCACTTCACATGAATGCAAGGTTGTGAAAATACCTAGTCAATGTTTGTAAAATACTCAGATGGTATAATGATGAGTGCTGTAGAATAGACTTTGAGGAAAGAGATAGTTCTGTACTGGGGCTTAGGCAGTGTGCCACAAATAAGAAATGTAGAGAAGACAAAAAAAATGTACTGGTGAAGTATCATTCTTGGTCATTATTCAAGGTACGGCAAATTTTGGCTTTAGATCTCTTTGTACTGAAAAAAAAATGCCATGGCAACATGACACAAAATATTATCTGTATAATATTCTGCTGGTTCAAATATCTCTAAAAATAAAATAAGACTTAATAGGTCAACTAACTAGCTTATTGTACCAGTAAGGGCAGTTAGATTAGATACAATCTGTCATGTTTTAGATGATACAGGTGCACAAACCCAGGCGAAATTCTGGGTTGTTCTCTGGCTCATGTGACAGTAGGCAAACACTGTGTGTGTGTGCCAGCATGCAGTAGGGCATCCCCTAAGGGATGGGGAGCTGTGTGCGGTAGCACAGTGGCAGGCAAGGGCCCCGCTAGCTGGGCTTGGTCCCACAGTACCTGAGCAAAGTGAGCAGGGCAGGCTGGGTGTGGTAGCCAGTTTCAACCAAGTCTAGTCTTTGTGCTAAAATAATTCCCTCCTTTATTTGCTTCTTCCCCTTTTTGGCTTGCTTGAGTGGAGGAATAATTCTTCTTTAACATTGTACAGATATTTGATATGCTGTCAGTGATGATGAAGTAGGTGATAAAGTAATTGTGACCAGACACATAAAATCCAAGCTTTTCTTGCAACCTTTTAAAAGAAAACTGGAGTAAAGGTAAATGATTAAAAAAAAAAAAAAAAAGAGAAGGAAAAAAGATGATAAGTTAAAACAGATTTTAATTATAAACATCGTAGAAAACTGTGCAAGTATAGAAACCTCTCAATTCCTTTTGTCTTTGCAGTTCTACCAGAATTAAAGCTGCTCTGTGGGGCTGATTTTCTACAGACATTTAAAACACCCAATCTCTGGAAGGAAGAACACATCAAAGAAATAGTGGAAAAGTTTGGTTTAGTCTGTATTAGCCGTGCTGGCTCTGATCCTGCTCAGTATATCAATGAATCAGACCTTTTAACTAAATTTCAGCACAATATCTTTCTGGTGAAGGAATGGATTCAGAATGAAATCAGTGCAACACAGATACGCCATGCCTTGTGCAGAGGATTAAGTGTAAAATACCTCATACCAGATTCTGTTATATCCTACATTGCACACCATAATATCTACACAGAAGAAAGTGAGCAGAAGAATGAAGGTGACTTGCTTCAGCCTCTGAAGTTGCATAACACAACAGTAAACCCACTAAATGACTGATGTCTGTAGTGTGTGAAGTGGACAGACCTGGCTTTTTTTCATGTACAGTTCTTGAGAAAGTTGTTTCTTGTTAGTGAGAGGAAAGTACATCTGCCCAAAATTTCTTGAATTCATGTGGTGTTTTAAATTCGTGTTTTTGTGTACGGTAGTGCTTTAGCAAATCGGGATGCTTAGCTGCATAGCTTAAAATATATAAAGAACAGCTTCCTTGTGAAAATAAAAGAAATAAGATCTTAACAATAAATATTAATCTTCAGTAATACTTGAGTCAAACATAGTACTTTCCTGAATTGTAATTCTGTAATCCTACAACATTTTAGCATGAAGATGCCTTACTGTTCTAAAGCAGCAAAATAAATCACAACTTTTCTTTACATATATATATTTAAATGTGTATTACTGCTAAACTTTTTAGCACCTTGAATAACTTTTTATGTTTCAGCAGTTTGGACAAGAGATGGAAATAAACTTTTCTTTCATGGAAGCACTTAAAAATGCATGCACCATTCATGTCGCTTCCAAGCCTCCAGATTCAGAAATGACAGACAGTCCTCACTCCCAGATTTAAAGTGGGTTTCTTTGCTTCTCTGATCCAGAGTCTTCTAGAATAGTAAGTAATTGCCAAAGCTCTGGAGTAGGTAACATATCTAAGAGGAACTTCAACTGTACCATTTGAAAATACACAGTGGAAAATAAATGAAAATTGCTGAGAGGCTGTCTCAGTATTTGAGCCCAAATGTTAGCCAGAAAAATCCATTCTCTTCTATGTTGGTTGCCTATTCTGCTGATTCAGTCTATCTCATTTTTGAAAGAAGACACCTTCAAAGAATATAGAATCTCTATAAAGTGCTACTTCTGTGTTTAAATGTTGCTGAAATTAACTGAAAGCATGCATTCAATAGTGATGTACCATTTATCAATATACAGAATTAACCATTGCTTCTTAATACAAGTTTCTACCTAACTGGCCCTTTTTGATCCCTCAGCTGGCCAAACAGCTTCCACTGTTAGTTCTCTACAATTAAGGAGCTTGTGGAACAAGTTAAAGTAATGCTAGACACAAACTGCTTTCACTGAAAGAGTCTGTATGATCGTTTTCTGAAAAGAGGGCAGCATAAAGTAGCTAGAACATACTCAAGGAAGAAGGATTCGCCTCAGCAAACACACAAGCACTTGTATAGCTTTGGCTAATATCCTAAACTAAAGCTAATTAAAAAGTTTTTTCTGAGTGGCATGAAAAATGAAGAGTAATATGGTTAAAATGGATCTCCAGATAATCAGTACCCTTACAGAAGTTATGTGGAAGGTGAATGTTTCGTTCTGTTTAAATCAAGTCATCCTGCTGTCATTATAAATCTCAGAGGTTTGGCCTTGTGGAAGGATTTAAAGGCAACACTTCAACAATAATCGGATTAGAAGGACTTGCATAGCTACATGGTCTAAAAAAAATAAAAGAAACCAGAGTTCAAACTCACCACAAAGAAAGGCAGTGAGCTGTGTGGTGCAGAATCCACACACTCTTCTGAGACTTTCATTTTGACAATTACCTAAAGTAGGGATGCCTGCAGATTTCAATGGTTACTGGAAAATGGTCAGCAATGACAATTTTGAGGAGTATCTGAAAGCGCTGGGTAAGGTTTCCTTCATGTTCTTTAATAAATTATCAATAAATGCAACCTTAGTCTTCATATTAATCTATTTTTTCTTGTACAGTCATAAATCATTTTTGTGAGAAATACTCTTTTCAGGAATGCACTTTAAGAATTGCCTTATGCAAAATTGTTTTGTCTTAAGCAGCCTCTACTTTTTGCCATCTTGAAGCTTACATTAACAGAGATTAAACTACATAGCTTGAAAAGGTAAGTGGCAGATTTCAAACTTAAAAAAACCCGTAATTTGAAAAAGAGGAAAATTTTTAATGTGTGGTAAAGAGACAGTATGTACTTAATGCAGTTTTATGTGTTTGCATTTGATGTAAAGTGCTAGTATTTCTACATAAATATTGAAGACCTTATTAACCATCAAATACAAGTAGTATTTTTTAGGATTCCACATAATTAGACAATGAAAACATTAGCTTACTTAAGTTAAAAGAATTAGGTTATGGACTTTTTTTCTGATGAGGAAGCTGGCCTGAAAGATCTGGACATTTATTTATCTTTGTTCATTTTAGTTCTTCCAAAACCTACAAGCTTCTTTTTGTGGTGGACTTTTCTGGATTAAAATAATTCTTTTTCTTTTTCAGATGTAAATGTTGCTGTAAGAAAAATAGCAAACTTGCTAAAACCTGACAAAGAAATCCTTCAGAATGGGGATCATATGATCATTAAAACGCTAAGCACTTTTAGAAACTACATCATGGAATTTGATGTAGGAAAGGAGTTTGTGGAGGATTTAGCTGGGGTGGATGATCGGAAATGCATGGTAAGAATTAAACTTTAACAATGGACACAAAGAAAAGAATAATCTGAGGCCTTTCACAGACCACATCTGTTAACCATTTTGTGTGGCTATTCCTAAAATTATTTCTGTGCTTCTCAGTTTGACAGGATGTGCACACAGTTTTTAGCGTGCCTTTACATTAAAGGAATGCTAATTTTACTCAGGAGGACAAACCAGTTTTATCAATGAATGAATAGTAACTTCAATGAAACATTACTCAATTTTACTGGGATATTTGTTAGTCAAAAAGACATCTATGTTCAGACTCAGAATCTCTTCACTGAGTAATGTTTTACAGTGAAGGAGGTCCACTGATTGCAGGGACAGGCACTAGTCCCCATATGTAAGAATGACCAAGTGCTTAGAAATTGCATTTCAAAACATCTGCTCAAATGCCTGAAGTCCTCACTATTTGAGTCAGTGAAGTACTGGTTTGTGTGTGTATAGAACTGGCTCCATCTAAGCATTATCTGCGCTTAAATACCATTAAACTCCATCTAAAGGAGGACTACAACATCCTGTACATGGTGGAAAGAAGTGCTCTGAGACTGTGTAGCATGTACCTGCAATGAGTTCTTACAAAATGTGCCAGACAACCACTGTGCTGAAAAATCAGATTCAGAAGACATGGAAATGTGTCGCTTGCCTAGTTCCGCTTTTGAAATGCTGAATAGATTTAACATACAACTCAACTTCCTGACAAATACCGTAAATATTTCATTATTTGTAATAGGCCAAAATTCTCTACCCAATTTTACCCAATTTGAGTGACAGGGAAGAATTCAAAGTGTTGAACCAGAAAGAAGAAATTTGAGAAAGATTATTCTAGTCACTACAACAGCTATTTGATTTGGAGTGGAGCTTAGTTAACCCTACTTCCAAGGGTTGCTTAAACATTTTATCTATTGGCTGTTTAGTGCAAAATGCTTACTTAGCCTGGGAAGCAGAAGGTACTAGCAGCTTCTTGCCTTTTCCAGAAAAACCCAAGGGGTATTCAGTAACCCTGACTGTTTGGTTTGTTAGGAATGACTTAGGCACGTAACTCTACAAAAACTTTCAGAAATCCTCCATGGCCCTTCATGGCCTCCAACAACAGATACCAACTGCAGCTATACAGTTCAGGTCACTGATGACTGGTTCTCTATTTGCCATGTAACAATGTATCATACTTTATAGTTCAATTTAAGATTTCTTTTCTACATGAGACCTCAGTTTTCTCAAAGCTGTCTTTCTTTACCCAAATCTGATAACCATAATGTCAGGAAAAACTTGCAGTTGTTAAGCAACAAAAGAACTCTTAACAGTCCAGAAAGAGTCTGTGAGAGAAGGGTCATGGAGGTGAAATAGGAGATACTGGACCATTCCCTGAGTGATCTTATGAAGAAAACCACCATAAAAGCAAAAGTTGAATATCATTCTTGGTATTTCCTTTTCTCATCTGTAGCTTGTGAAACTGCATGCCATAAATGGTTTAATCATTAATAGGCAACCTATGTAATGGGAGAGACTGTCAATCAGTTACTGTTATTTGTATTGTGGACTGAGCAGACCACTGGGCAAGTTTTATCCAAGTAGCTCAGTGTATGAGAAGTACAAAGTAACATGGATAAGACAAATTACACATTAAACGTTAATCTATATAGCAGAGCAATGATCAGGAGACTAGCAAAATAACCTTAGAAGTAATTCATCTAATAGGTATAGATAATCTTTTCTTTTAATGAAGAATTTATCACCTAACTAGAGTTAGCATATCAGTAAAAATAATGTTAGCACTGTGAACAGGTTAGATTTTGTGTATCATTCGCCGAAAGTGTGTTCACCTTTCAGTTGTGTAAAACGTGTCTGTGAGTCAGGGTAGAGTGTAACTACAGTTATTCCAAATCAATATTGTCTGTGATGAGTAAAGGTTTAAAAGTTTTGTTGATACTTATTTTACAGTTAAGTCGAAGGTTTGACAGTAGGAATTGATACTCCTGTGATACTATAGGCCCCCTCCTTCATTTCAGTTAGGATTTTTTCATTTTTATAGTTAGTCATTTCTGGAAGCCTGTCTGAACTTTCTGGAACAGTGAGTTAATTGAGCTGGATAAACCTTAGCAGTTTCAGTTCGTCCCTTTTTTGACCTTTAACTGTCCCTTTCTTGTATGCAACATGTTTTTAGGTGATTCTGTTTTCTTAAGGTATATAGGTAACAGAAGTTGGTGACATCAGTTCCTTTAAGATTTTGTTTCTGTTGGGAAGTGAACATTTGCTACTTTGGAATCTTGAGAAACTGAAAAGCCCTGCTAGTTTAATTAAAGATGCAATTTCTCTGTTCTGTAAAACCAAAGAATAGTTGACCACACAGATGTGTGGACACAGGAGAGATCACTAATCGCAGTGCAAGGTACTTCCAAGAAGACAGCTGATATTCAATGTGTTCTGAGCATTACTGAAACCATGTATGGAGCAAGCTGCAGCACAGCCTGGTCTCTTAAGAAATGCAGAGCAGACATCTGCATTCACTAGTTCCATAATGGTATTGTGCTTTGCTGGGGCTTTCCCCCAGAGATATTCTCTTCTAGATAAACGTTAAATAAGAGCTTCTCTATTTCTTTGGTAACTTTGTAAAAGATGTATTTCTGCAAGTTTAATTATACTTTAGGGTTAAAAAAATTAAAAACTTGTCAGTTTGAACTACAAAGGTAAAATGAAAGTTTACATGTTCAGGAGCATCTTTTATTCTTTGCAGATGTTACAAGGTGCACATTAGATGGTGTGGAAAGAAGTTTAAAACATTAATATTGTATTACATTCTTTCTCATATGATGTGAAGTTTGAATTGGACCATGTGATAATGTTTCTACTACTTTGAAGAGTTTGTTCATGGTTTTAATTGTATAGAGTACAAAGACAGAAATGTTAAGTTAAATGGCTAAACTATGGCTTTGGTATTTCCTGAACTGAGTATTTGAATCTGCTATCTTCATTCTCAGTGAAGCTCCAGTCTTATTATAAATTTCTTCAATTTTAAAGATAAATTCTATAATCTCTAGTTGTGATTAATTTAGTGAAGGTCTCAGGTATTGCACTAAGTATAAAACCTTGTTTCATGCACATAAACTTTACTGTGGAAAAAACTTACTGTGCACAAAAGAGGCAAGACCTTATTAAAACAATAATTAATTGAAAACCATCTCCAAAAGTAGATCCTATTCATCGCCAGATAATTTTGTGTCCCTTTTTCACCATCAGTAAAAAACAGTGAAGCTGAGGAAACATCTGCAATGTGAAATATGTACCAGTAAACATAAGAACAGGGCAGGATCTGATGCTAATCGGAAAAGTTAGCCTTATGTACCTTCACAGTATTTGCTTAGTACATCAGTCAAAAGTTTATCAAGAAGTTAACGGAAAAAACTTAAAGGCTGAAACAAAGGCTGAAGTTTCATGTCCAAGTCTTTGCACCCAATGAATTAAAGCAGATTGAGAATGGGGTAGCTCAGATGGAAAAATTAACTACCCTAAAATTTTTACTTTTCTAATCATTTTCCTGCTAAAGTCAGAGAAGGTTTTTGGATTAAAATTTTTCTCTGCTGTTCAAGCATTTGAGTGAGACTGAATTGCTTTAGCTCACAGTATCCAGAGTGAATCTATCTTTTGACAGAGACTAAAGGCAAGTGATCTGTTTGAAAAATCAAGGAAGGTTCTGTGTTCTAAATATAGAACAGTAGAATTTCCTGGATAACTGAAAGTAGCATTAGTTGCATTAGAATTGAATAGTTGGCTAAGCAAGTGAAGGATGCTTCAGTAATTCAGAGCCTTGTGCTTTTTGGCATAGTAATTTTATTCTTACCTTGAAGCAGGAAAGGAAATGATAATGGCTAGGGACTGGTAAACAGATAAAACAGGAAGAATTTGAAACTGAAGGAGGGAAATCATACATTATAACCATTTAGTTAACTAAAACAGAATACAAGCAGAATATAACCATGGATAAGTTATCAAATGGGTGGTTAGGGTTCTATTCTTGGAACTAATATAACTTTCAGTCATAGTTAAGACTCGCTGGGCAGGGTGGGGTGAGCGGATTTGGCAGTTGGAGAATTCAGTCATCAGATCTATCATACATCTTTCCATATGAAGTATCTTCCTGAAAACATATAGTCATTTAATGTTTATGAAAGACAGCCACATGAGGATTGTTCATAGGCACCTGAGCAATCCTTCTGTCACAGAAACCAGTGCTACTTATATGTGCCGTATCCTAGTGGAAGGAGGTAAGCTGTTTGGAACTGATCATGGCTCTGTTTTAAATAACAAACATGCCCAATGTGAAAGTGATTCCTCTCTAGTTTGTATTCAGGAAAAATGCAATGAAGTTTAGTTACTTTGGACATAATTTGATTGATACTGCTGCAAGGTCAGAATAAAGCCCTGTTGTAAAATCACATGGCTCATGAAGCTTATTTAACTATTTAGGCAGGGTTCCTTTGTTCCACAAATGGAATTCACAGCTGTTAATCTAGTTTAGAGTAGGTATTGGAATAAAGACTTGCTGCCAGAAAAACAACAACCAACAAAGAACATTCCAGTACTTGGAATTTCAGTAGGGATCCCCCACAGAGTGAGAAGACTCAAAATAAATTGCACCCATGTAGTAAGATGCAAGATCAGCAATATGTCTTTACTTGATCCCTCTGATTTAACTTTTTTTTTATTTACCTATTCAAATGCTGTCCTTTCCTTTTTGGCTTGTAAGTATTTTCTCATATACTTTGTTGAAACAAGCATTGTTCTAGAACCACTGTTGCTGGGAGGTGTTTTTATGTCATTGCCTGTGTGTATATACTAGTCTTTGCTCAAATCTAGTGCCTGCCCTCTCTGCAGTACCGTAAATTCCCCAGCTCCTCCTTGGATTAATGTCTGACTTCTCGGGAGGGTTAATTTAAAAGGAGGTAGTCTTCATGTAGTTTTCTGTTGATACCTCTGGCCTTTTA